GAAAATGGCCCAGCCCAGCCTACCATCCACGATCCGCTCCTGAATGTGGCTTTGCTTGTTTGCTTCAACACATAAGTGCAAACAACCTCAGTGGTATGACAAATTCAAGATAAACAACTATGTTTTTCAGAAAATAACAAACATAAAATATGTCTATTGTTAGCATTCAGAAAACCTATTTCTGGAAGCTCTTAATTTCCTGTTCCTAAAACACTAGATTCTTCTTCGTGGCAGTATCCACGCACACTAAAGGAAGCAACTATCTATCTTGTGAAATAACATAAAATGAAATAAAAGTCAACATTTGAAGACAGACTATTACAGCAACAAGAAGAACAGGAATGAAAAAAGCTAGTTTTTTAACATTTGGTTACTATTACATTACACCAGTATTTTTTTTGTATATGTAAAATATCTTTACCAAATGTACTGTTTCCACCTATTTTGGTTTGACCTTTTAGCAAGTGTGGAAAGTTTCCTAATATCTCTCCTAATGCAGAAATGCCTTTGGTACAACTGGAAGGACATTAACTAGGCCTAGGTAAGCATTTTCATGGATTGTAGTAAAAAATCCCTCCCATCTATTATTGACTAGCTATCGTCCCCTCATTATTACAAGGGTTGTTTGAAAATATCAAAAGATATAACGTTAAATTGTGTTGTATTTGTATCTAGAAACAAGTTCAGATCAACTAAGGTTCTTCCAGCCCCAGCGTAGTTATGTCACATCAGCGCCAGTGTCTTGCATCCAGTTCCTCGAGATGAGAAGATGACCATATCTGACGCTGAAAGTGGTTAAAGAGGCCCATCCACAGACAACTGAAACAGTGAGCGCTAGCCATCAAGCACAATGTCGCCTTACCTTGATGTGGGCTTTTTAGGTGGTGAGGAGAAACTTGTATCCTCCTTGTTTCCTTTGGTTCTACAATTACATGCTCCTACTTAAAAAAGGAAGCTTTAACCAGAAAACACCCTGATTTTACTGTCGACTTGAGCTCGAAATGTGAATTTTGAGACTTTTAAGGTCTACTATATATACTACCTATATATAATATATATCAACGACCGCGGTATCACGGCAAGAAATGTGAAACATGGTGACGATTTACATGCTGAGAAAGGGAAGTGAAGGAATGTCCACAGGTATGTAACATGGCCGAACTAGTGGAAGAAATACCGGAAAGTGCCCAAGCAAACGCTACCCCTCCGAACGGTCCGGTTGGTCAATATTAATATAATAAATGATTTATTTTTTTGTAATAGTCCACCTCCGATTTCTGTTTTTTTCGCCGATTTTCTTGTTGCCCCAGCTGGTCGACACCCATCTTTTAGCAGAAACCAAAGGGCTACATTAATCCGTGTTAAATCGATGGTAATCCATGTGTGTGTTTGTGGAATAACACCGGACGTGACGTTGTGCGATTGCGTGCAGGGCAACATCCGGCTTCGGTTCACTGTTAATTACAAACTCTTCAACTAGAAACGCGTAGTTATATTAAAAACCAATTTTAGGCGAGACGATCAACAAAATACGTTTTAATGTAAAGTTCAAATTTAAATGTGAAATACCAAAATCAACATACCCGTCATAAAACAATACCGGACAACAGACGTAGGCAATATACTCAGGCTCGCTGATTGAGTTTAGCCCGGCATACACGCTGGGTAAATGTGTTTATCGCGATGTGAAAATCCCAAAACATTTCAAAAAAAATAAAATACACTTTATTCTGAGTGTGCTGCTTTTCTCTTTGGAAGTCATCACATAACGGCATTGTAATACGCGGTTTGGCGCATTAAAATATTACATATCTGAAGAAGAATGCTACGAACAAACAGGAAAACTGCCACCAAAACGTGAAAACATGACCGGGATCTTAAATATATAAACACGAGCAATTAAACAACATCTTACCATTTCTTTTCACACAATACGTCTCCTCCGCAGTTATTCAACACATAAATTCGGGCTGACTTTGTTATATTTGATCCAATTGGTTAGATAGGCTGTATTTACAACCATACGTGCACAGGCTGATATAATGGGACACCTGGTTTGGTTAAAGCAACGTTTATTGAATTTATTATTTTGTGTTTAGTGGCCAGTGAAGACAACTTTACACATCCCCAAAAGGACCAAGCAGATAATATCATGACTCAAATAAATTTATAATTTCCAACCCCCATTGCAAAAAATACAGAAGGTGAAAAAGGATATTCATTATGATGGGTCAGTTAATGATTGATCATAATAACATGTATTTAATAAGAATCTAATATTTATTATATTAGCGTAACATTATCTTGTGGTTATAGCTCTTTTTACTTAAGGACAGGACGTGAGATTTCTTTTTTTACAAAGTTGTAAAGTTATGGCTATGCCCATAAATAAATCTTAAGAAAACATCTTCTCAATTATTTGTTTAATATGTTTAATATAACCAATAGGGTTTAGTGAATTTCATAAGATAAAAATGACAAACAGCATCAAACACAAGGATGAGCAGATCAAATAAATGGTGCAAACAAGGAATATAAAAAGCATCTGTATGATATGATTTTCAGATTTTTAGCATGGAAAAAACTCCCTCACACAAAGGGAAACTAACATATTACATTATAAGATCATGTCAGCAGGTCAGTGTGATCAACCAACCTACGGGTTTTTTTGACACACATTCACAGTGTAGCATTTAACATGAGAAGTAGCACCACTTTCTTCAGTAGTCAAATCACGTCCTATTCCTTCCTCTTGTAGCCTTCCTTCCAGATAAATGAAAGGGCGCATAGTTCAGATCATTTCCCCCTTCATCTGTGCGGCAATAAGAAAGATCATTCATGAGTGTCTACTTGTCTACTTTTACACAGTTTTGTTTGAATTTATAAACAGATTGGTTGTATTTGGTAAGTAGTCATGTAATAAGAAGGACCTCGTACAGCTAGTCGGTCATTCTGGACAAAATGAATCACCAGACGATTTAAGATTGCTGCTCACCCTGTCAGGGCTCACATCGCACTAATGACCGGCCAGATGTACATCCTCCCTTACATGTTTACTGTTAGTGGTGCTGTTTGATTTCATGTTATTAAAAAAGATCCCAACAAATATTGTGTCATTACTTACCATATCATGCACTGGTTGGCTTGAGTTGTCATATCTTGCTTGCCCAGTGGGGTTTTCTATTCCTAAAAAATGAAAAACAAAAACCCAAATGTAATTGGTTTAAAGGTGGGGTAGGTAAGTTTGAGAAGCCGGCTTGAGATACACTTTTTGTTATATTCCATGGAATGCTCTTAACATCCCGATAGCAATGAATATCTTAAGTGCTTTGACAAAATATCCATAAAAAAAATGTCATCTGTGGAAGCCGTAATACTGTAAAAAGCACGACCAATCATCTGAGCCGGCCCGGCTAAAGCAACTGGATGGCCTACCTGTCTGTCAGCCTTCCATCTGTGCACAAACTTATCTCGTGCCCTCATTGGTCATGTGCGAGTTTGTGTGTGTTGGAGGAGGGACAGATTTTTTCCGGCTGTGTATTTTCAAATTCTAGCGCACTCGAGCTGGTTTCTCCAAAATGACCTACCCCAACTTTAAACTTCATTTTATATAAGGATCGTAACCCCAATTTATCAATTTTTTTTCTAAGTAGCTTAATAAGACAGACATTTTACCTAACAGAAAATTGGACACATCATGCTGCCAGTGTTTGCTGATACATTTATTTTATATAATATCTTAAATAAAATATTTCTGTTAAGACCCAACTTCTGCAGTTATTTATTATTTAAATCTTAAAGCATGAGGTTGAGGTTCATCCTGTACTTTATGATGTTACATCTCTTGCACAATATGTAATAAAATCAGTGTATACCATTTTCAAAATAATTCAACAACACTTACCTTTACATTTTGAAGTTCGGCAACAGAAGAAAACAATGTTTCCAATCATAGAAATTACCAAGCAGACAATCGCTATCACCAGCGCAAAGACTTCAGGACTTGCAGTTTTCTCTGGACAGCAAAGAAAAAACACAAAGCAATCATAATGTTACGAACATTTTTCGAATATCACCTCTAATATTCAAAATTATAAAACCATACCTAACTGCGGATGTGTAACATCTCCAAATAGTATCTCTCCACATGTGGCCACAGCACAGTAGTAAGTCCCGGCATCAGATGAGCTGAAGTTCTTTGAGAAGCGATAAACACAACTCTTCTGAGTGTCCGGTAACTTCTCACATTCCTCTTGTCTCCTTCCATCAGTGTACATGATGTTTGGATGAGATTGATCTGATCCAGCTCCAACCCAGAACACACTGATGTCTCCTTGACATGTTTTATTCTCCGATTTAGAGAGGACCGAACACTGAAGGGTCATCGAGTTTTCTTGAGGAGCCGGATCAGATAATGTCGGGCACTGAACAGAATAGTTTGAAGTCCTCTGAGTGTTTCCTGGAAAATAAAAAAGTGTTAAAAAGCACATTCGACAGCCTAAAATGTGTTTACATCCATCTTAAATGTGGTACATTTTTTATCAAAGAAAAAATACATTGTTAAACATTGATTAGTGCTTAATAAAAAAAAACAAGAAAAACCGGATAATGTTAATTTGTGGTTTTAACTTAATTTTAAGATTCAAGACATGGTGAAATTAGATTTTCTTTTATCAAGAACCCAAATCATCACAAATATTTGGAAATAAATTCTTCAAACCATTTTGTAGATGTTAAAATCAGGGTTCGGATACTTAAAGCTATTTTGAAGCTTTTAATCAGATCTAAAACATTTGAAAATCTTGTAAAAAATTAGATCACATGTTTACCTTTTAATAACAAATAGGTCCCACTCCATACACGATTCCTAATCAAATCCTCGATTAAGCAGTGATACATTCCTTCATCTTCTGGGATTGTCCTCCGAATGGTCAGGGTGCTTAAATTGTTACCAATATGTACCTCCAATCTTGAGTCAGAAAACCCTTGTGCAAATGTAGGTTTTGAGGATTCGGGCAGTTTCACAATTAATGTCAGAGTCTCTCCAGCACTCTGCTTGTACCAGCGGAGCTCTCTGCGCCTTATCTCAGTTTTTGGCAGAGCACACGTTAAGGTCACAGATTCACCAAGTTGAACTGTAGTCACTGGAGCCAGTGTATCTGAAATAATTGACAGAAAACAAACCGTGAAACAGTAAAAAACAATTAGTGTACAAAATGGGTATTCAACATGCAAAAACAAGGTATCTGAAACTTCATATATCTAAATGTAAATATTTAACTTAATACTTGCACCTACATCCTTGATGAAGAAGAAGCAGGGTTACCGATAGCGGTAACATCTTGAAAATGTCTCTTGTTTTCAATGTGTACAAAAGGTCTCATGGCCGCCCATATGCGTGTCACTCTGCATCTGATTGGTTTTCACAGAATAAAGGTTTAAAAAAGTGCACTTCCTGTGTCAGTGGTCCTATTCTGATCTGTTTGAAGCATATCACTTCATTCTTCTCAAGTTATTTATGCAAATCTTCCAATAAAACTCTTCCGGAAAAAAAAAGTGAAACTGTAAAGACAGCTTTGGACGATAAAATCAATGACAGTGAGTATTGTTAGTAATTCTTGAACCCTGAGAGCAGGACGTACTGAAAAGAGTCAAGGGAAGCTTATAAAAGTTAACAGCATTTACATAACACAAAAGATCAATCAATCAATCAATGTTTATTTATATAGCCCAATATCACAAATTTTACATTTGTCTCAGTGGACTTCACAGTTTGTACAGAATATCAGTATGATAATACGACACCCTCTGACCTTACCCTCACATCGTACAAGGAAAAACTTCCCGAGAAAACCCACAGTTTAAAGGGAAAAATGGGAGAAACCTCAGAGAGAGCAACAGAGGATGGACAGACGTGCAATAGATGCCGTGTGTAAATTGAAAAGATAATACATTTGCAACATAGGTAGTCCAAATGCTTGGAAATGCATGTGTGTATAATAGGAAGATGAATCCACGAGGATTATGCAGTGGTGTACAAATGAAATTGAAAGCGGAGGCACTCTCCCCATGTATTGGTCAGCCCAGGTCAGGAGAAGAAGAGGTCGATTATTGGCTTGCTCTTCCTGTTGTCATCAGAGGTCTTCTCCTATTGGCCGGGGTCGACGGGGGCGGGTCCAATGCAATGCCTGCCTTTTTCAGTTGCTAAATTACTCCATTCTGTTGTCTGTGGTTATTTAAACATTCCCTAATAAACGTGATTTCAGCGTCAATAAATGAGTGTTAACCCCAGTGTGTTTAGGGTACAACATCACGTAATGTCACCTTCAATTCACGGTTTGAAAAAGTTGCATTTCGCCACATGCTAATGCTAACCGGAAATGACGAAATTCACTAGCGGAAAACCGGAAGTAGTGTGAATATTCGGTTTTTAGAATAAAACAGATTTAAATTAAATACAGTGTATTTAATTCAAATTACGCCATATCAACATTGATTTTAATTTCTAACAGTATGAATGAGTGATTTAAGAGGCTTAGTTACCAGTCTTCGTTACAAGGACACTGGATTAACAAAAGCCTAGAATAGCTGTCAAATTAGCTAAACTGTGCTTCCAGTGAAGACACCAGACACAATTATCCCCAGTAAAATATTTTATAAGAGTCAGTAAAAACTAATCTCATAATGACTCACTCAAGTAACAACAGTTTACAGATAATTATATTTACTTATAATGTTGTTTAGGCAAAATACATGTAATTGCAATAATGGCTAGTTTAGTCAGCAGTTAACTGTTCAGAGAAAGAAAAAAGTTACCAAAACACCTGTTGTAATAGGGATGGTAATCTTGAGCATACTGGGGCGGAGCAGCCATTTTTCGAGGGAACCATACGTGGCTATAGCAGCTGTTGTTATTTGTCGCTGGTCTTTTCATCCGTCATCTGTCGTTCATCATCATAAATGTAAAAGGTTTGTGAAAAATATATAAATGCCGATGAAGGGCGATATATTGTAAACGTTTAAGTAAGTGGTATCGATCCTTACGAATTAGAAAGGGTTCTAGCTAACATTAGGCTAACTAAATGCTAACAAAACATTGGCTTACCGTGCAAAACTAATGGTTATTGAAAAATGAACACTAAGTATGAACCTTTTTTATGTCCCAATGTTAACTCGAGATAGGCCTACTTACATTTTAAACGGTGTATTCACTATTAACTGTTTTTTTCTGATAATTCAGCAATTCTTTTTAACACTTACAGTAAACAGCCGGCGGATGTCACTCTTACACGTATTCCCATTACCTGTAAAGAAGTACTTTGATGATAATGCTTGAACTAAGGTATTTGGATAGTAGGCTACAAAATATAATATAATAGAATAAAACCGGAGGGATGAAACCCTCTTTAATGGTCACACATGCAGAGCACACAGCACACACAGTGAAATGTGTTCTCTTCTTTTAACCCATCCTAGTACCAGGAGTCTAGTACTAGGAGCAGTGGGCACCTATTGTACAGCTCCCGAGGAGCAATGGGAGTGAGGGGGGAAGGGGGATGTCCGGTGCCTTGCTCAAGGGCACCACGGCAGGGCCCAGGAGGTGGACTGGGACCTCTCCAAGTAACAGTCCACACTCCATATTTAGGTCTGGTCGGAGACTTGAACCGGTGACACTACAGCTCCCAGTCCGACTGACTGAGCCATTGCCGGACCTAGCAAAAAAGGTTGCCTGTCAATAGAGTGATACATGGATGATGTGTCTTTGACGGCTAAATCCTTGAAGTTAGCATTGTAGTAGTTCCCTTGACCAAAACCAAATGGGATTTTGGATTATAGCAGAATAAACATCTTTGTGGTAAACAGCAAAAGTTAGACGCTAACATGAGGCCATACATAGGGTGGCTCAGGATTGTCCACCAATCAGATGATGCTGGTTATAAGCCCAGTGGTAAACATGTCAACATGTCTTTAGTAGAGACACTTAGCTAGCTAGCAACATATTCCTTTGTGGTTGCCAATCATTCGACTGCTCAAATAACCCAATAATTATTAACCCCCCTCTAGTGTTTGTGTCTCCCTCTTACTTCGGTGTTCCTGATTACATTTTATCGGTCTGTTTTAACTCTACTTACATTAACACAAAATTAAACAACCATCACCAAATGTTATTAAACACCCTTTTAAGCTGTACACAATATATCAGACTGCTGGATTACATGAATAAGCGCAATGAATTTAAACAAATATAGACACTGAAAATGTTTTCCAAAATGAACATGGTTGTCGATTTGTGGGTGTGTACTATCTGATGGATGAACATAATCTAGGTCAGGGGTATCAAACTCAATTTTATCTTGGGCTACATTAGTATTATGGTTGCACTCAAAGGGCCGGTTGTAACTTTAAGACTATATAAATATACATATATAAATATACAAGTTATATATTCCATAATGTATTATATTACATTATTGGCTCTGCATTGGATTATTATCAGTTTAAATATGCCAAAATAAATACAAAGACGGATTAGGTTTCTTCAGCGTGGTATTATAAAAAAATCATTTAAAAAGGAAGCAAGAAATCAACACAACTCCCAATTGCGGTTAGATGTTTTTACAGAGCATTGGCCGAGACAGTAAGTAGATGACGCTCATGGAAGAAGTAAACAGATTTGAACATTCATAATGTATACAAAATGGCAGAGGAGAACATCTTGAAACAGTTATGATGGCCCTAAAATCAAATTAAATCATAGCAAAATCATTCCCCCCATGATTTTTTACATTTTCTTTAATGAAAAACACACTTTGGTTAGTATTTTAAGATAAAAGACGACACATACAAACACATGTAATCAAATATTGGTGAAACATCGAACATAAAGAGAATATCTGTTTGATGATATTTTGGCTTTTAGCATGAATTCAAATGTAAATCTTTGTCAGAGGTCAGTATTATCAACCAATTTACATTTTTAATAGACTCACATTCACATTCAGCATTTAACTTGAGAGTACACACATTCTTCAGTCTCCATCTCTCTCTTCTTTCCTCCTCTTGTAGCCTTCCTTCCAGAGATATGCAATGCAGCATAGTTCAGATCATGTCCACCTTCAGTCTGAGCAGCAAATAAAATCTCCATTATTAAAAGACAGCTTTGTTGATGATGATTGTTTGATTACAGAATTATAATGGTCTATTATTTATTTGTAGCAGACTGCTGCTAAGAGTAACAATCTGTTGCGATAGACACAGTCCTGATATCCAAACACAGCAAGCTGACTAGCTTTTTAAAATGATGTTAAACCAATATGAATTGTCAAAGGATTGACCTCTTTAGTAAGAAGCCATGTAATTAACTGGATGATGAGAATCATGTTAATCAAAATAACCAAAAAAGAAAGAATGTCGTAAGATTACTTACAATATCCTGCACAGGTTGGCTTGAGTTGTCATGTCTTGAATGCAAAGCGACGTTTTCATTTCCTAAATATGAAAAGAAAACATTAATATTATGAACTTAAACTGAGTTTTCAATACAGATCCCCGGCACATGGCATAACTTCATATTATCTACATTGCATTATGGGGGTTAAGCATATTTGACATAAATGGAGCAACCAATATGGAGAATCGTGCTGCAGATGTTTGCTGATAAATTCATATAATAATATTCAGAATAACAGATTTCCATGTATAAAAAACAGATTTGTTAAGTGTAATAGTATCCAAGAACATGAGGTTAAGGTTAATCG